TGTTCCCAGTGATCACAAATGCTGGAAATGGACCAAACCAGAACAATGCAAAAAGTAGAAGCTCCTGACAGGGGCTCAGAAAAGTGTGAGAAAGGACACTCTGGGATGGTTTGGTTCACTCCAGTAATTACATCATGCGACTGCTGGAAAAATGAGCAAATCAAACCATCCCTACAGTGGAGGAAACAGCAGGACAAATGCCCATCTGATCATCCTCTAAGTTAAGTAACATACACAAGCTACAATTAAGAAAAGCAACTGAACTTCTTCCTGTCTCTGCTGGTCCTTCTTGATATCTCAGCTGCCTTTGATATCTTCAACCATGGTATCCTCCTGGGGAGGCTCTCCGAGCTGGGATCAGTGGTCTGGCGCTTGCCTAGCTCCGATCCTTCTTGGAACCTTAATTGTGGGGTCCTGCAGGGCTCGATTATCTCCCCCAATGCTGTTTAAGATCTACATGAGGCCGCTGGGTCAGGTCATCAGGGGGTGTGGGGCTTCAAGTCATCAGTACGCTGATGACACCCAGCTCTACATCTCCTTTTTCCCCCAACAACAGTGGATGCCATTTCGTCCCTTCAGCGCTGTCTGGAGGCCGTATTGAAATGGATGCAGGTGAATGGTTTGCGGAAGCTTCAAATGTTGCAGAAACCGGGGGCCAGACTTCTTACTGGGGTTAGAAAACATCAACATATCTCCCCTACTCTGGCGGCCTTGCATTGGCTGCCCATCCATTTCCGCATTGATTTAAGATTACTAATGATGACATATAAAACCCTAAACAGTTTAGGACCTCAATATCTAGCAGAATATTTCCTCCCACCTAGATCTACCCAAATCACTTTCTTTAGCCAGGATGGGTGGCTGAGGGACCTAATGCCGAGGGAGGCCCAAAGAGAAAGAACAAGAAAGTGGGCCTTCTCAGCAGTGGCCCCTTGCCTCTGGAACAATCTCCTCCCAGAAATTTGTCTGGCTCCCTCGCTGGGTGTTTTTAAGAGCAAACTCAAAACCTGGCTCTTCAGCCAAGCCTTCCCTCCTGTCAACACCTAATTTATTTCACCATCTTCAATTGTATTAATGTTCTTGTTTTGTTTTATTTTATCATTATTTGGAGTGTTGTTAGCCGCCCAGAGTAGACTTCGATCTAGATCAGGCTTGTCCAACCTACGGCCTGAGGGCCGCGTTCGGCCCAGGTCAGCTCGTAATGCGGCCCAGTGCAATTTTTTATTTTTAAAGAAATTCCAAAGATTCAAGTTACACTGCCGGCGCTTGAGGCCGGAATGTGGCCAGGGCATGTCACAACAGTAGAGGGGGAGAGAGGGAAGGAAGGAGTGGGAGGGGAGGGGACAGGGGGGCT